ATAAGAATAGAACATGCTCCCCTTGTCAATATCAAGATTCGCGCAATATTTTTGCATATGTTCCGAAAATAAAATTGAAAAGAAACTTCCATTGAAAAATGCAAATTCCTTTCAAATTATGGAGAACAAAAGATTCGTACGATTTTATTTCGAACGTTCTGGCATTTCAGGCCAATTCACTACCCTTCACGAAAATCCTTCGTTCTCGTTTAACCACCAGCGGCGACGACGAATTAGCACAAAGCCTGGAGACGAAAAAAAGAGAAAAAAAAAGAAGAAAGATGAGAGGCGTGAACGATCGGTCTCCGAGCAGAGAGCTCTTAATTACCAACGAGGCTGTGAAACCCTTGCGCCGCGGAAATCGGCGAAGTTTCGAGGCGGTGTAAAGCTGTGCGGGAACGATTGGCCGCCATCGTGCGTAATCGACTTCTCCTTCTTCGGACTACGCACCGAAAACTACCTCCCCTAGTGTAACGGTACACGACAAAAACGTATCGGGTTACGGGCGATCGTTAACCACGGCATAAAGAGTTTATATTCGAGAATGCCACTTACTAGGCGCACGCTCGCCCTAGAACGCGCGCGCGCGCGAGTACCAGCGTACAATCGTACGAGCAAGCGGGCGATATGACCGAGTAAAAAGGTGGGATAATAATCAATACAGAAAAAGGGATAATATATCCATTGAACTATGGCTGTATAGGGGTGAGCGAAGTTTAACGGACAAATTGGTGGAGGATCTGCACATCGAAGAATCAAAGCTCGACCATCGACCGGCTGTTGAATCGATACAGAGAATATCGTCGGTTTGACGTTCGATTCCGATTATATTCATCGTCGCGTTTCATCGAAGCCGTCCGTATCCGATTATGCCAGTGTGACTCGTAATCAACGAGTTTCTTTCTGTGGACATTCGATCGAGCCAATAAGATCACCGACCGACCAACGGGAAAGTTCAAGTCGGAGAAAGAGAAAGAGATCGAAGAAGAAGAAGAAGAAGTGGATGGCGAGAAGAAAGAAAGGGATATGCCGTATTGAAGTTGTGCTGATAAAGTAGAATCGAAGGAAGTCGAGGACCCTCGTTGAATCGATCGAGCGGAGGAAGAAGCCGGAGCAAGAGGAGTCGCGCCCGTAGAAAGGAGAGAAGAAAGCCTCTGCTCACGGCCATTCATTCCGCTGGCTACCTAAGAAGACGTAAGCCGCGCAAGAATTAGGCAGAAAAAGGTGGAGCATGCTCCTCGAACGGCCGAGAGTGTTTGGTGTTTATACCTGGCTCCTTAGAAAACGGCCTCCCTCCAAGTAGATGCTTACAAACAGGCGGTTGTCAGATTTCTTTTATCTTTCCCGGGGCATCTGTATGGCCGATGCCCCCGGCAGCTACTCCTCTTTTGCGTTTTCTTTTTCTTATACCGCGACTAGCCGCGTCGACCACCCTATCAGTTATCGATGCGAGACAACTGGAATTGCATGCTTCTCTCACTGTGACTTTCTTCGGGATTCGTCGAGAACGTTCGTGTAGTAATTACTTGCAAGCAAAGTTGATCTTTGCGTTGAAATTTCTTATAAATGCATAAATATCCGTAGTCTAAGTATATAACCCAAGCTCTGCAAACATTTCCACGCACAGTGGCGACGAGACTCTCGTTAAAATCAATTTCAACTATATTCGAACAAACATCGGGAACGTCAAATGAAAAACGAGTGTCCCTGAACAGTTCTCGACAACTCCGAACGATTAAGGAATCCCACCGCAAGCAGCGTGTCGACTCGACAAGCTTCGACCGTCGGAGGATCGGTCGGCGATCGTCGACGAGCATAAACCAAGCCGGAGGAAAAGTGCATCGATTCGGCGATCAGAGATCGTAGCTCGTGGCCGGACTGAGAGGGAACGAACGAGTCATGAACAACGGGGGAGCTGGTATGGCTTCC